GAGAGATATACAGGCTCCCCTATAAGGTGCTTCTGCCAGAAGCCAGAAGAGGTACCTTGAGACCGCCCCCCTCCCTCCGAGGTCCTGATCAGCGAACGGGCCTCCCCCCGTCTGCGCCTCCAGGACAGAAGCAGCCTGAGGCCCTCCATCCCCAACAATACAGCCTTGCTGGGCACCCGCAGGCTACCCAAGCCCAGAGGCCCTCGAGCCAGGACCACTCATCTCTGGCTTCCCACATGGGACCTGCACTGGGGTGACCCACATATCCACACTCTGGAAGCTTCCCCTGCCCAACCACAGTACCCGAGGCTAGGGCAGGAGAGGGTGTATCCTCTCTGTGTTCCATACGAGCACACAACCCAGGCTTGGGAGGAAGGGACATGGTACACAGGACCCTGCCCCTTATTTCTTGGCCATAGTCACTGCACATTCCAGGGACCTCAGCACAGAGGCTGGGGCTGCCTCGGATGGCTGGGTGGCAATACTGCTGCAGTCACGGGGGCGTCCCTCAATGGACTGCCCCTCACCACCTGTGACCCAGCCCAGTAAAGACCCTCCCTTACCAGGGGTCCCAGAGACATGATCTCTTGAAGGAGGGGGGACCATCAGAGAAACAGCCTCCCAGCGCTCAGCCCCGGCTCTGTGAACCTTGACAGCAAATCCTAACTCAAGTGTCCGATACGCTGTCCCCAGCAATTCCCTTCCCCTCCACCCCCCAACCACAGTGGCACAGAAGTCTCTGAAAGTCAGGGCTTCCCAAACTGGGGATCCCCGAGTCCCCCACACCACCCAAGCTTAACAGGAGATCTGGACCCTGGGACCACAGACTAGAGAAAGCCTGACCCAGCTAACTGGAGTGAGCGCCGCCTGATTGACCCTCACCCAGCCCATCCCCTGGAGCTCTGGCTTGAGCCCTGACCCCACCTCCAGGCCCCAGCCACTCCCTGAGCCTCTCCCCAGTCCCCGACAGCCCCACTGCCCACAGGTCACAGCTGCCGGGCTGCCAGATAAAATACAAGACCCCCGGTTCAGCTCCAGCTGAACAAACAAGCGAGTCTTTAGCATTACATCCTCAATCCCGCATTATCCGTGGCTTATCCGAAATCCAAATTTAACTGGGCGTCCCTACTTTTATTAGCCAGATCTGGCACCCAGAAGCAGGTGGTCCTGAAGGAGGGAGACAGGTGGGCACACGAATAGCTCTGGGATGGGCAGGCCCAGCTCCGGACCAAGAGGAAGAGCGCCGGGAGCAAGAGCTGAGCCTGAGACACGCCAACCACTCATCCCCAGCCCGGGCAGGGACCAAGTACAGCCTCACCCAGCCCATTCGGCAAACCTAACTCACCACAAAGTGAAAGAGGGCTGGGCCCCTTGCGGCGCCCTCCGCCGAGGCTCTGAGCCCCTTGGCTGTCATGAGCAATAACCCATAGCACGCAGTCTGAAATGACAGAGTAGCTATTCCAGGGAGCATGAGGGTCCCAGCCAGACTTGCCTGCAAATGAGGGGTCTGGGAGCCAAGTGAGGGAGCTGGCTCCCCTTGGGACCCGCCTGGATACCCCAACACCTACACACTTGAGTCTCCATTGTCGCCCTGCCACCAAAGGCGGGAGGGGGGTAGGGGGGAGGGGGCACGCATCTCATTGCTTCTTCTCCAGTGGTCCCAAATAAAAGTCCTTCCAAGACTCCGCCTCTGCTTATGAATTAATTCCTGCTGGGAATTCCCTTGTAGCTGCCCCAAGGGTCCACGTCTCCTGGGCCCCACACCCTCCCGGAAGGTTCCGAGGCTCTGGCCCCGGGTCCTGCTCTGCTCCCTGGTGTTTGTGAATTCACCCTGAAAGTTGGGTTCCCAGTGCCCCTTAAGGCTGCCACAGGCCCACGATGCTGGGCACGCATTCCGGCTGGTCCCAAGAACCTGGCTGTGAGGCATTAAAGAGACGCCCACAAACACCCAAGAGGACCGAGAAGCAGGACAGAGGACATTCAGGGAGCAGAGCCCCAGGCTTGAGTTCGAGGGGAAGACACAGGATGGGTTAGTGGGGAGAGGGGGGCCCCAGGATGACTGGGAGCCAGAAGCTCAGGGGAGGACTCGGAGACTCTCACTCTGGTAGGGGACATTCCCCAGAGATGGAGATTCAGGAATAAGAGGAGAGGCTGCTTAGCAATATGGGCCAACTCTCTGAAGCCACACTTCATTCATTCATTCCCTCAAGTAGCCATTCAACAAGTTATCTGGGTACCAGCCCTGGGCATCAGGGAATCGAAAGCAAGCCCCGGTCCCCGCCCCACCCTTAGCGCAATGGGAAAGACAGACGTAGAGCCTCTGAGTGAGATCAACGTTGGGACAGCGGAAGGACAGGTTGTCACGGGGGACACAGAAGTAGCACCTTGGCCAGCCCTGGGATTCCAGCCCGAGGATGCGACGGCCAGTGTAGTCTTCACAGAGAAGAGACAGGCAAATCCTACCAGCCCTATCCCTGACTGCAGCCAGCTAGGGCCACCAAAGGAAGTCTCCTATCCCCTCAGAGGAAGGATGGAAAGAACCTTCCAGGAAAAAAGAACAGGGCATTCAGCAAAACTGAGGACTCAACGACCCAGCCGAGGAGGCAGTGGATGGACGGATGCGTGCCGAAGCAGATGAACCAGACGGAACCCAGAATGGGGACGGACCAGGCGATGTGGTCCATGGCTCCATGGTCACACTTTGAGGATACGAATGCCCCCCTCTCCCCCCCGACGGCGTCGACCCACCACATCAGCCTGAGATCCTCATCTGGGGTTTCTGACCACCCCCGGCTGCTGTCAAGACGTGCGAGCCCTGGCTGCTGGGGACAGGCTGTGAGGACAGCGGCCTCCAAGATCCCTATCATTACGCCTGCCTTTCTGATTATTTCCAAGCATCGAACACTGACAACTGCCTCTGTCGGAAGGCGAGCGTGGCTCTGGGAGAAACTGCCTTCAAAGAACAGGCAAAAAGTATTTGTGATGAATGCATTGCACATAAATGACCCTTCCTCCAACATCTACTGAACAAGCCTGTTAAGTGGGTTAAGCGTGCCCCGATAATGCTGTCTTTAAGACCCAGTTTTGCCACCCTAGGCCCCAGGTCTCCAATATTTTATTTATTTCTTTTTTAAAGTTTATCCATTTATTTTGAGAGAGAGAAAGTGCACAAGCCGGGGAAGGGGCAGAGAGAGAGAGGGAGCGAAAGAGAATCCCAAGCAGCTCCGTGCTGTCAGCTCAGAACCCCATGGGGGGCTCGAACTCATGAGCCACACGATCATGACCTGAGCCAATCTCAAGAGTCCCAATGCTTAAGGGACTGAACCACCCAGGTGCCCACATCTTAAATATGCGGGCAACGTGTGGCCACAGAGTTCCAATCTTTACTTCTTTCCTCCGCTGGGGTCCTCTGGGACCCTCTGAGTCAGAGCCTCAACTTTCTAGGTCAGTCAGAGCAGGCTGTAGAATGGGGTGTGGTCTTAAGCTTCCCACATCCCAAAAGCAGGTCGGGGACTCTGACATCTTGTCACCTTGAAGCCAGGTCTGTCCCTTGGTCCAGTGGTCTCTGTTCAGAAGAGGTCAGAGTGTACCTCACACCCTCCTGGGCTCCCAAGCAGGTGGCTCGTGATGGGCATGTGACTACCCCCATCTCAGCCACCCCTGCGTCCAGACCTTCCCTGCCAGCAGCCACCAGCAGCCACCAGCCTCCCAGCCAGTGCTACCTCCTGCTCCGAATAACTAACTAATCAATACCGGTGCCCTTTCCCTTTGGGAATGACACTGCTGAAATAAATGGCTGCTTGGAAGGCACGTTCGAAGCCCCGAGGACCCGGGCAGTGCTGAGCAGCAAGCGGGCCCAGCCCAGGGGGCCACCAGAGGAGGGCAGAGAAGCTCCTGGCCGCCCCTTCCTTCCACTGTGAGCGGCAAGGGAAGGCCCCGGTCAGTGCCCACTCCTCTGTCCACGCCTGCCCCTCACCCCGGCTGCTAGGCCCTGGTCCCATGCCCCACATCACCAGGACCCTACTCGAGCCAAGGCCAGCGCTGCCGCCACATGCCTGGCACAGAGACCCCTGCCTGCTTAGCCGGCTCACTTTAGTGGTGATGGGGGGACACAGGAGCCTCCCCTGACCCAGGTCTGGTCCTCCTAGGTTAGGTACATGGCCAGATGTCCAGGAGGGCAGAACTCTAAGCTGCAAGGTCCCCCCCTGCCCTGGGCCCAGGCCAGGGCATCCTTCCTGTCCCTGGCCTCAGGCCGGGGCTGAAGCCCAGGAGAGGCGTCAAGCCCATCATTTCGAGGGACTCAGGATGGGGGGCGGGGTGGGCACCAAGCACCCCATGGCGCTCCACAGGCCTCCCTGTCCCCCGTGTGGGGGAACTCAGAGACCACCCACATGCGGGGCACCCCCAACTTGCTCCTCTGAATGCTTTGTGGCCCCCACCGCCATTCTGGGAGACTCTTCCCCGCCCTCCTCCAGAGGCTTAGCTGCCACCACTCAGCCCCCTCCCCGGGGTACCCCAACAGGAACCACTGTGCGGGGCAGTCCTCGCGGTGTCGGACTCAGCCAGCGAGTGGAGAGCACCGGCCAGGAGACGGCCCAGCCCGAGGAAGGCAGAGGTGGGGAGGGCGGGGACCCGCGGCCTTCCCAGCCCCCTCTGCTCCCACACTGGCGCCCGCCGCCGCCGCGGGCAGCACGACTGACCTCATTCGCCAACTGCAGCAGGCTGCCCAGGGCGCCCCCCGCCTCCGGAAGGGCCCGGGGGGGGGGGGCGCGGGTGACAGCTCACGGCTCCCACCCCCTCCCGGCAGGTGGGGGCGGCCGGCCCTCCCCTCCACCCGGCACCCCGGCCCGAATTATAATCCCAGTCACGTGCCTCCCAAGGCACCCAAAAGCCGGACCCAGATTCTGGAACACCTTGAGGGGGAGGGGCGGGGGCCACAGGGGTGGGAGGAGAAGGGGAGAAGGGCCTCGGCGCCCGCCCCCCGCAAAAGTTTCTCCTACCTTGGAGGATCCCCAAGCGCTCCTGCCAGCGGCGCCCCGGCCCCGGCCCGCGGCCAGGACTCAGCCTCCTGCCGCTGCCTCCTTAATTAATCCAGGAGAATGGGGGAAGGCGCGGCGGAGGGAGGCGCGGCGCGGCGCGGCGGGGGGGGGGGGGACGGGGGGCGCGGGGCGCCGGCCGGGGAGGGGCCGCGGCGGGGGCTCACGGGCCGGCCGGGGGGCTGGCGCTCGGCGGCCCCCACCCCCGGCGCGGGCTGCGGCGGAGGGCGGGGCGCGGCGCGGGGAGCCGAGCCGAGAGCGGGAGCGCAGGGAGGCTCTTTGTTCTGTAATCCCAGTAAGATTGCCAGCCATTCGCCCCGGCCCTAATCCCAGCCCCGCGCAACACCACCCTCCATTGGCTGCCATTTACATACGGGATTAGCCCGGCCGGCCCGCCCCGCGCCCCGGCCTGGGCACCGCGGGGGGAGCGCCGCGCCCCCGCCCCGCCCCCGGCGCCCCGAGCGCGCGCCGCCCCAGTGCCCGCCGCCAGGGGGGCCTGCGGGAGGGGCGCCCGCGCCCTCGGCGCCCCCTGGCTGCCTGGCGACTCCCCTCAGCCTCCCCAGCAGCCCCATCAGGGGCGGATTAGGAAGCCGGGGCGCGGGGACCCGGAGCGCAGGGTCAAGGTCATTCAGCGGGCGCGGGAAGACACCCGGGAGCAGAGGCCGGTGCCCTGCGCGGCGGCGGCGGCGGCGGCGGCGGCGGCGGCGGCGGCGGCGGCGGCTGGAGAACTGAAGTCGTCGGCCGGCTGGTCACTCCCACCTTGCCCAGGTTAGCTTCCGGTGGCCGGTCCAGGTACCTCTTTCAGCCTTTGTCCCCAGGGATGTGAAGGAAAGCAGTGGCCTGCCCAAGGTCGCAGCAGATCCAGCTGGAGGCTCCAAGGCCCATCCTGCCTGGACAGTCCTCCTTCTGATCCCCGCCTCGGGCGTCTGCCACCTCCTTCCCCTACCATACTAGCCGTCCTATGGAATCAGGGAGCACACCTCCCAACCTCTCCGAAGCCGCGCATCTTCATTCAGCACAGGGAGTGGTGCCCTGAGCCCTGTGCTGGGCCCTTGCTATGCTGGGCACTCCCAGGAGGGACACGAGCCAGGCAGACCCCAACCTCAGGGAGCTCCTGGCCTAGATGGAGAGAGCCAGATGGAGAATGAGAACCTTCGAGGTCCCAGCAAAGCCCATGGAGTCTTCCCAGGCTCCTTGGGGCCCTGCGGGGCACACAGCAGGCACTTGGTAAAGGATAAACTTGGCTGAGCAGGTCTAGCCCACAAGCTCTCCAGACAGAGCTCCTCTTGGACAGGCCAGGTCCACAGTGCCCAGCACAGGGCCAAGCCCAGAGGGGCCCCTGATCCCCACTGAATGCCTTGCCCACTGTGTTGGCCAGAGGAGTGGGGATGGGGAATGAGGCCACAGAACCCCCCTTCATCACACACTGCCTTTTGCCCTCTCGGGGGTGCCTCCCTATCCCCCTGATCACCAGGAGGCCTGGGAAACATCCTGACACCCTGTCTGTGTGGCCCCCCTCAGACCCACATCACCACCTATGGTTCTGGCCCTGGTGTGGTGACATCAGGGAGGGGAAGAGCAAGGATCCAGAGACCATGTGGGTTCAAATCCTGGCTCTTCCTCATACCACTGTGTGACCTTGGGCAAGGCAGTTCACCTCTCTGCACCTCCATTTCCCCTTTCCTGCAGCCTCGTAGTAAACCTCAGCATGGCCCCACAGTGGATGACAGCACTTGCTGGCACTCTTTTTAAGTGTCACTAAGCCTGTGGGGGCATCTTGTATTGACCTCGTTTTACAATGAGGGGAGGTGACTTGCCTAGGGATGTACAACATGTGCATGGCGGCTGGGACTGTCTCCATCGCTCAGGTTCAACCTGCTGGCCTTCGGTCCATCCATCCCAACTGCAGCAGCGGTGAGGCATGGCCTCAGTGGGCCCAGCTGGGGCAAGCTGGTCCCTGGAAGGACTGGCTGGCTGGGCTGTTGGGTTCTAGGGAGAATGCTTCCCAGACCCCAAGTCCTGGGGCAGAGCACCAAGAAGCCTGTGCAACCTAGGGCGTGGAGGAGTTGAGAGGCCTGTGTGTGCTCTGTACCGCTCTCTGCAGGCAGGACCTGGAGCAGAGATCATGCAAATGTGGGTGATGTGGGCACTGTGGGTGATGCCCTCTTCCAGCCTCGGGCTTCTTCCACATCCAGAACGGCCAGTCTGACCCCAACCTTGCCCAGGCCGACTGGGTGCAGCGTGGCACAGCGGAAGGCCTTGGCCCGGCACGTCCAGGCCCTGCCCCGCCACGTGTGACTAGGGTATGACCCCTGACTTCACATTCATTAACTGTATGTCCTAGGTCAAGGCCATTGATCTCTCTGGACCTCAGCTTCCTCATCTGTAATATAGAGCCAAGATAGTCCTGTCTCTGTATGATGACCAGAGGACTGAATGACAGGTGACACAGGGAACATGCTTAGTGTAGTGCCTGCTGGGTAGTATGTGCTTGACAGAGGGTAGTTGTCAAGTTTTTAATTTGTTGGCTTCGTCTAAGGGCAAAGCCCCACTCAGAGTTTTTGCTTGAACTGGTCTTCCTGAGGGGGGGAGGGTTCCAAGGACAAGATCAGGGACATTCCATTTTTGTCAAGTTCAGTTCCTTCCCCCGAGAAGGGCAGCAGAAGCTCCCGTGGCCGGGAGGGGGGTTTGGTTGAGAAGTCCTTGCTGGTGGCTACTCCCCACCCGTCCTCCACAGATACGGAAACTGAGGCTGTTCTCACCGCCTTCCCTTCTATAACCTCAAAGCCTCTTCTGTGCCCTCGTGCATTTTGCCTTCCTGACAGCCGTTCTGGCAGGTGGGCCTGACAGTCCCCATTTCACAGATGGGAATGTAAGATGCCAGGCCGTTTGCAGAGGTGGGCGTGCACCTGTGTGTGCTGTCAGTCTAGGTCAGATCAGGGACTCCCATGCAGGAGCTGGTTTCTCTCCTGGCCCCATGCGTGTATCCCAGGGTCTCGGACCATTAGGCTGGCCAGCACTGCCCACAGGGACTCGGCCCCCTGCTCCCCTGGGGTTTGGGCCCAGTCCAGCTCCCTTACCTTGGGGCAAGCCTACAGGGAGGAGCCTAGGATCCGCCACCCTAGACATGACCCCAGGGGCCAAAGGCGAAGACGGTGAAGCCAGCACCTTCATCTCACCAAGAGGCTGACTCAGCAGCAGCCCAGCGGCGTATGTTGGGGTGGACCTCAGGCCTTCTGATCCCCAACCTGACACTCCTTTGTCCCATCGCTGTGGGTTTCCTTGGATTTTCAGGAAGCGATTTTATCTGATAATTAGCATTCATCCTTTCAAAGTAAGACTCGAACGGCTTCTGGAACCAACTACACCTCTTTCTCTTCAGAGCATATTTCCTGTTCCATCGTGGAAATCAAAGGGAAAATAAGACTCAGCGTCTTCTGGAATATGCTTTCAAGGCAGGATGCAGGGTCCGCAAGGCGGGCATAGAATCCGTAGCCTAGATGGTAAATGGTATCCCTACCGGCCAGGGTGCTCCGGTGATATGGGTGGCCACACGGCACCAAAGGGTAGGTGAGGGGCTTGCGTGGATACCTCCTGAGTCTGTAACCCACTTCCCCTCCCCCTCCCAAGACGGGCTATCCCCCAGGTCACACCAGCATTTCCTTTTATTCCCAAAGCTTTGTGTTTCTATAGCTTCTCCAGGCCACTAAGGACAGAAATCATTTTCTTCTCTGGGGTATTTGATCGGCAGAGTCACCTCTCAGAGTCCTCCAAGCCTTCCGGACCCCAACAAAATAAAGCCCTTATTCTGGGATTTCAGGCACCCATGCTGCAGGCTGGGGCAGGAAGCAAGGGGGTCTTCAGAGGGACACCGGTAGATCTGCCGCCTCAGCTTCCCAGGCCCCAGGGTTTGGCCCTGGTAAGTAGTCTAGGGCAACCCTGGCCAGCAGAAATAGGATGCGAGCCACGAATGCACGCCACAGAGGAAATTTTAAATTTCCTCGTAGTGGGGAAGAAAGAAACAAACGAGAAAGGAACAGGTGAAATTAATTTTAATGGTATATTTTATGCAGACTGACGTGTCCAAATTGTATTCGTTTGAGCACGTGACACTATTTTTAAAGACGGAGACGTTTTACGTTCTTTTCCTTATACGAAGGCTTCGATATCCGGTGTCTATTTTAACCCTTATGGCACATCTCACTCTGGATGAGACAGACTTTAATATGTGGCGAGCGGCTGCGGGTCAGGTGGTAGCATCTTTTGGCTCAGCTCACTGCTGCCTTTGGGGATCCTGGGCCTCAGTTTCCTCGCCTTGGGTGCCTGTTAAAGGTGCAGGTCCGGGTCCTTCCAGGGGATGAGTTGGCCCAGACACTGGCCGGGTGGGAGAGAGGCCGAGGATTTTGCCCTCCAGAACCCGGTCCCTGGCCCTTCTGATACACATTCAAGTTTAGGGAGCTCTGATCATCAGGCTCTGGCGTCTCTGATTTAACCATACTCAGCCACGCAGTACTGGCTCACTGCCACGTCCCTTGTGCTGTGGGGCACTCGGTGTTGGCTCCTCTGTCACAGGCCCAGCATCTGCCTGGGTCAGAGATGGGAGGGCCCGGGCTGCACACCAATACACCCTGTCTACCGGAGATCATGTAGACCCAGACCCTGAACCTGGGGCCTCTGGGCCAGCCGCTGTGAGGTTTGCAGCAGTGAGCCAGAGGGGGAATTAACCTCCATCTGGGGCCGTGCCCCTGGCCCCATGGGGAATAAGGAACCAACTGGACCCGGCCCCCATGCCAAAGGCCCACTGGGCCAGGGCCTCAGCGCTCACTAAAATATTTCTCTCCTGCCCTGGGATTTTCCGGGAACCCAGGGTCCTCACCCCCAGAGGAAGGGTCCCTCCTGGGCCCCCCACCAGCCTTCCAAAGCCCCCTTTCCCCCAAGGAGGGGTCTGCCCAAGCCTTGGTGTCAGATCTTAGCTTTTGTATCATGGACAGAAAGCCGGCCTTTGCACAGTGTCCCGAACCCAGTGCCCTGCCTGTCCCCCCGACTCCACCGCGGGGCCAGCCCTTCTTC